TGTGCCGAGGGGTTGGGGGGGCGGCCGGGGGGGGGGGGGAGGAGCTGGTACAGAAAGGGACCCGAGGAGCCGCCGCCGCCGCCGCCGCCGCCGCCGCCGCCGTTCGCCAACATGGCGGACCTCGAGGCCGTGCTGGCCGATGTCAGCTACCTGATGGCGATGGAGAAGAGCAAGGCGACCCCGGCCGCCCGCGCCAGCAAGAAGATCGTGCTGCCGGAGCCCAGGTACCGGCCGCCGGGGCCCGCGCCTTCCCCCCGCGCCGCCGCCCCCCGCGGCCGCCAGCGACCCCCTGCGTCCGGGAGGGTCGGACGCTCGGCCTCTGCCGTTCCCCCCCACCCCCCGCCCCCGGCCTCGCCGTTCCCGTCTCTGAAATGGGCCTCGGAGGGCTGCTGGGGGACTCCGGCTGAGAGCGCCCCAAAGTGCCCAGCGCGGCGCCCGGAGCGCAGGAGCGCCCCAGCAACGGGCTGCCGGGATGTGGTTGTGACTTGGCTGGACTAGCTCCATCCCTGTCGCTCCCTCCTGTCCCATCCCTGCGTCTGGGTCCACCCCATCCCTAGGGTCGTCAGTGCGCCCCTGCCAAGGCTCCCTCCTGCCCCATGCCTGCCCTTCCAGCCCTATCCCTATCCCTTCTGCCCCATCTCCGTCACCCCTCCAGCCCCATCCTTATGGGCTCCTTCTGCCCCGTGCCTGTGGCTCCCCTGGGCTGCCTGCTGGTCATTTCTTTGGTTTCTGCTGCCCCTTTCGCCAACTGCGTCCTCTCCTCAGCTCCGCATGGGCTCCTTAGCTGGGGAGTGCAGGCTCCTTGCCTTTTGTCCCAGGTACTTAAAGTGCAGTTTTCAGTGCTTGCTCCTCTTGAGGTCCAGTCTATTCCGCTTCCAATCCTCCTATCCTTTCCTCTTTTGTGCCCCCAGGCAGTGATGAGTGGCTTGTGACCCACACAGTTTTCTTTTTGGTGCTAAGTGTATCTTCCTGGTGGCTTTCCTCAACTTGCAGATCCACTGGTGGTCACTTTAAATGCACATTGAATGGTTGATTCCAGACAGGAATTTGTTGTTTAAAAGACCAAAGAAGGGCCCGATTGAATTGGCGAGGGGTTTGGTGAGGGCCATACCAAGTTGTGATTTTATATCGCTAATGATTTATTACTGATGGAACTAGTTAAAGACTTCACTGGTTCGTGTCATTAGCACCACCCCAGAAAAGATCGTTCATCAGAGTAATAGAGTTTCAAATAGTGTATCAAAGGATTAGGGTTGGATTTCCCTCCTTAGCTTCTTTTCTAATTAACACCATCCTGAGTTGTACAGTGAATGTGCTAAATAGCTCTTGGTAGAATTGATGATAAGAAGAGGCATCTTCTATATGGTGAGTTGGAAACCATGCAATTTTGTAAAACATTAGAATCTAAACTGAAGCTATTCTCGGTTGAAAGCACCAATGTTTCAAGCACTATACACCCAAGATTGCTTAAATTGTTATCTTGACATAAGAAAAAGAATTTTTTTCTTTTAATGCTAAGTGATCGCCAGATAATTTTTTACAAGTCCATTCATGAGCCTGAGCCCTAGACAGAGAAAATATCAGCCCCTTTCAGTTGTTTGTTGCAAAAAGCCAAATTGTGTAAATGAATACGTGTTAGGTATTTTTGGCTTGCTTGCCCTTTTTGTTAGCCCATGCATCTTGTTGGGCTGGCAGGGTGTGCTCTTTGATAGCAATGTCAAGCAGGGAAAATCAGGGAAGAGTATAGACCTTTTGGAGGGTTGTGAAATTAATACTCCGTTTCCAGAGTCTAACATATCTGAAGCTCATTGAAAATCAGTGCTGTTTAAAATTTCTGGCAAATGGGAAGCTACGTAAAACAAGAACCCCCAAACCAAACCTGAATTTCATTTTTAAGAAACTGCATTTTTATAAATGTGGTATTCAGTGGTAATTCCTTTTTTCTTTTGCCTCTTCTACTCTTCCTAAAGGGCAGGGAGTCCTAAATATATGGAGTCTCTCTATATAAAATCGAAAAATCTTAACTCTTCGGCAGTTTTGTGGGGGCGATATATAATATTAAAATTAGGAACTTCTGTTCTTTTTTTTTTTTTGAACTTAATGTGACTTCTGCTTTTTTAGTGTCCCTCTTGAGAATCTTGACAACATACTTATATGTTTAGGATATTCACTTCCTTGTATGAATGCCTTTGTTTTTCAGCAGTATTCTCTGGTAATGCTTTCTTTTAAGGCAGAACTGGGAGATGGTGAGCATATTTCTCATGACATTTTAGAATTGAGAAATATCAAGAGGAGAGTCATTTTAGGAAACAGCCCTTAGTAATTATTATTCTGTTGCTATTTTTTTTAAAATAGATTCTTAAATTAGGTTATTGGAACCTCCTCAAAGGATTCTAATTTGTTTTGTATTTATCTTAGTGGCTTTGGTTTTAGTTTTGTAATGTGACCATTTACATGTGTTAGGATTCTGTTACATTGAGATTATCAAGTAAAACATCTTTCGGTTTTTTATCTACCGATGGCAGGTAGTGGCCTGCCTGCTGGATTTTGGGGTGGGGGGGTGGGTGGGTGGGTGATTTCTCAATATGGTAAGAAAGTTAATATTCATAGTGGCTGGCAAGACTAGTATGATTCGCCCCTGTTGGTAAAGGATAGTGGTCAAATGGTTTCTGATAAGAGTTTCTATTTCAGCTGCATTTTGGAGTGAACCATGTGATCACCAGTCTTTGGTGCTGTTGAAAAAGATGTTTAGATTTGTATTTTTAGTATCTCAGTGAGGAGCATAACACTTGCCATTGGCCCATCACTAGTGACTTTTTCTTTCCAGCCCGATTATTTGAAATCACTGGAGTATTCTATATGCTTCCTCATTTTAGTTGCTTTGCCTCTTACGCAGTTTTAAGCAGAAAAGCAACAGGACTGCGTAATCTCTAGCTAATTTAAATGAAATGTCTGGTCTGCTGTCCCCTGCCTATCACAGGAGACTCTCAGAAGATGGAACATTCTGCCCTGGGGAGATTTTGCTTCTCTGAGATAGCGAGAGGCAATCGTTTTGTTATGTTGACACATTATTTAATTAACGAACCAATGAGTGTAAATCCCATAATAGCTGACTATTTGTTCAGATTACATAGCTGCTTCAGTTTACTGAAACATTAGTTGAGTTAATGTAGCTGATAATGGGATCTGTTGGGAATACTAACCCGTGACCCATGGGTTCACTTTGCAGGCCCAGTTAGAAACACGAGCATTCAGATGTGTGTGCTAGTTACCCTACTCCATGTGAGGGAAGAAGTCCTTTTATTTGATAGAGTCTAATTCATAAGCTAAGGCCTACAGAGGGTCAACATCTTAAAGCCGTGGATCATGAGACCACTTGTACTTTAGGCTCGTTACTCTGATTAACCTTTTCCAATCAGAATGAAATTCAGTTGACTTGGAGTCACACGTAGTTGAAAGAGATTGAGTACGTGAACTTGACCCTTCCCCTACATGCTATGTCCATTTTGGGGACATTGACAATTTTGGATCATTAATTACAAAGCTTGTCCTTTCAAAGTATCTAGACAATGTGATAGGAAGTTCTGAAAACAACATTTGCAAGAGTCTTTGTAACTTACCTGGAGCATTTAGAATATCCTTAAGGACATCTGTGACACCTTTTTTTTTCCTAAAGATTTTATTTATTTATTTGAGAGAGAGAATGAGAGATAGAGAGCACGAGAGGGAAGAGGGTCAGAGGGAGAAGCAGACTCCCTGCTGAGCAGGGAGCCCGATGTGGGACTCGATTCCGGGACTCCAGGATCATGACCTGAGCTGAAGGCAGTCACTTAACCAACTGAGCCACCCAGGCGCCCTGTGACACCTTTTATTACATCACTTCTATAGGTGGTTGTAGAGCCGTTTCTCCAAGCCAGGCATGGGGATACCGTGATGGACCCAACCACAGCGTTGTCCTTCAAGGGGCGTATGTAGTCTAGTGGGAAATACACAGTTGATTCAAGAAAGATGCTTACTTTAAAGTGCAATTTCTTGAAGATTCTGTTTGACCACAGACAAGTAGCATTTGGATGGCTTTTATCATCTATCGTCATAGAACTCATGTTTGCTAAGTGTTTTTACAGTAATTTGTTAGTTATTCCCGTTGAAGAGCTATCTAGCCACAGTATACGTAGTAACATGGTAATATTGCATCTTCCTATTTGTAAAACTATCAAATGGAATTGATCTTGAAAAGTAGCTCAGTTTTCTTCTTTTGTGGGAATGGAGTTTCTTCAGTAAGTTCCCTAACCCCAATCCGTGAGTGGTGGGTGGTGGCTTTGAACTAGTCCTCTCTGTTTTGGGTGTAGGGGATTCTATGCCTGTGTGCCCCCCTACCTCCCAACTTTGAACTGAAAAGTCAGTGATGAAAGAATGAACAGCCTTCAGGAAAAAAAGTGTTCTTTGTCGTTGGGCGGAGTATTTCTGTGTATAAAACGGTAGCAGTGTTCTTGCCTCTTTTCCACTAAGTTACACATTCAAAATGTAATTTGTTCTGACCTTTCGGTTATTATTTCATTCTTGGTTCAGAGTCAGTTTGTGCCAGTGACTTGAAAATGCAAGTACTGTGCGTAGTTGTCAATTCTTAGAAATAGACGTTCCAGTGCAATCAATTTTGGACCTAGAACTAGCCGCCCAAAACATTGTGAAATGTTTTGAATCGAGAGCCCAGTAGATCTCTTTGAGGTTCAGGCAGCCCCGGTTTGTATATGCAATGTGTTCTTAGAAGCAGTGTCTTAAAAGTGCTTTTCAGCATGCTGAATTTGGCTTTGCCAAACATCTGTTTGGACAAGACTGGAACTGTTGGATAGGGCGTCAAGACTCGAAGCAGGGAAGTGTAGGTCTTTATCTGACAGCGGGTGGCAAAGCAGAGTAGGAAACGCAAAGTAGTTGAGCAGGATGCCTGGGGTCCCTGCAGCCCTGATAAGGGAAAGAGAAGTTTTACTTCCATGAACCAGGAATAGAACAACTACCATTTATTGAGAGCTTACTCTCTCCTGGGGCACTTTGCATAATGAGTACATTTGTTCCCCACAAGACTGCTTGCTGCTTGGTGAGTAGCATCAGCCTCATCAGCACTGTTAAGAACTCTGCCCAGGTGACAGCCGAAATGCAGCCGAGGTGTAGTCAAGCCCTGATTTCCCAGAATCCGGGTTCTTTCCTCCTTTCTGTGCCGTGGGGCCAA